GGAGTTAGGCACCTCTATACCTTCAAAAATCTGGCCCGTAGGAACTTAGATGTCCTGATAAATACTAGCAGACTGAAAACCGACATATTTGTGAATAACAAATCAGGCTGGGATTATCAAAACTGTCAGAGTTAAGTGCCTGAATCTCATTGAAATTTAGTTGGGTACCTAACTCCCTTAGGCTCCTTTGCAAATCCCAGCCTCAATGATTTGGATCAAAGCTCCTTCGTTCTGACCACACACCTTCCATTAGGGAAGGTGGGCTGTATGGTGGGGGCTGGTTAATGGAGGCAGTGGCAGAGGGATCTCCCCCCCTCTCCCAGTGCTCAACCTTCTGGGAGATGTGATCCGAGCATCTGTGTCTTTTACCACCCACCAGGAGTTGTTTTTCCTGGCTCCACTCAACAAGCAGCTCCGGCTACACTGCTCCCTGCCTCTTCCTCCAAGCAGAGCAGTGGCCAGGCAAGCAGGCAGCTAGGAGAGGTTGAGGAGAGGGTCTGAAGTGGATCCACAGAGGAGCAGCCCCCAGCAGAGGCTCCCTGTGGGTGTGAATCTTTGGAAACTTGTTAGCACCACAAGCGAAGGCTCCCGGGGTGGAATCCTGGCCCTGTTGAAGTCAGTTGGAGTTTTGTAAGTGACATCAACTGGGCCGCGAATTAGGCCTCTAGGGCCACTGGAAGATGGGAAGGAGTCGACCCTGCCCAGCTTAAATCAGTCCGTAAGGAGAGCTCACCCAGTCTTGTCTATGCTGCACTGCTGGGGAATACCACTCTCCTAGCCCGACCCAACTCCAGGTCTCTGTTTGTTTTTTCTCCAAAGGATATTTTCCTCCCTCCTTAATTTTTTTGTCCTGATCAATTATTTGGATCAAACATCGGGGACCAAACAGCTATTTCGGGGTATCATCTGTCTTCACCTCCTATTCTCAAGTAGGTAGCATTTGTTTGCAATACATCCATTAGTGAGTTTCTTTCTTTCTTTCTTTCTTTCTTTCTTTCTTACCATATTGCTTTTTTTGCTCATTCACCATTTCAAAATGTATTTTTCTCTTTCTTTTGGTTTTATGCTTTCTTTCTTTTCCTCTTTCTTCCTTTCACAATTTCTTTCTTTCTTGTTTTCTTGCTTTTGTGCTTTTGCTCTTTCCTCTGCACAACTTGCAGTGAATTCAATGGGAAACTCACAAAAAGAACCTTGTGATTCAATGAGGTCGGGCAAGAGAAATAACATGCTCAAATTATTATTTCTTTCATCCTTTCATTCATTTCTTTTTTTAAAAATGATTTCACTAACAATTTAAATCATTGCCTTTTTTGTTCTGATTTGGGACAGAAAACATTTCAAAATCTCAAATTTGTTCACAGGATGGAAAATCTATTTTCTGACCAGCTCTCCCCAAAGCACCCATCACCTTTAAAAATATTGACCATGAATGTCTGATCCTTGTTTGAATCATACAGGGTTGTTGGCCTCAGTGGGTATATTTACACTGCAATGAAAGAGCTGTGGCTGGCCTGGGTCAGGTCTTATGAGGCTTGGGCTAGGGACACTATACAATTGAAGTGTAGATGTTTGGGCTCAGGCTGGAGCCTGGGGTCTGAGATCTCAGAGCCCAGTTCTGCAGCCTGAGTCCTGCAAGCCTGCCTCATGATTTTTTTAATTGTAGTGTTGACATTCTCAGTGATATCTGATAGATTCATAGTGTTAAATCCTGGCTCTGTTCAAGACACAGGAAGTTCTGCAGTTGGCTGCAATGGGACCAAAATTTCATCCAGAGATTTTGAACCATTATGGTCATTTAGTCTAACCTGCAGCCAGCCAAAAACAATGGGTTTGAGTGGGAAGGAACAACCTGTGTTTATCAATGGGGTGTTAGCTCCAAGTCCTGCTGTTTGGGGTCTGTGCCCCACCACGAGTGTCTGTATGTGGCAAAAAGGGAAAAATGGCCTAGCCCACTCCAGCTGCTGGGGTAGGTATTCAGGAGACACCTTAGCTGCCATCTTCCCCTCTCCACGAAGGGGGCTAGAAGTGGGACCCTGCTACTTTCTTTGGGAGCCAGGAGATGTAGGTTCCGTTCCCACCTTCAACACTGATCAACTCTATGACCTTGTTCAAGTCTTTTTTTCCTTCCGACCTATATAGATGGGGGGATTTTAGGGGAAGGGACAGTCTCTTACTATATGTCTGTACAGGACCAGAACAACAGGGTCCTCATTTTTGTTAGTGGCCTCTAAGTGCTACTGAATTACAATAATAATAATAAATAATAATAATAATCCTGGTTGAGATTTTCCAAGATGCCTAGGGAACTTAGATGCTCAGATCAGTCATTTAAATTGGTATTGGGTCTCCAAACAATCTAGCTGGCTTTGAAGAGCTCAGAAGATCCACGTCCAAGACAGGAATTATTTTTAGAGCTGGTCAAAAAATGCTCAAACATAATGAATGTTATGTTAATTTCCTGGGTTTGACATGGAGCCATTTTTCATTTGTCTCTGAAAATACTTGTGCTATATTTTAATCAATATGGTTCTCGACATTTGTCTTAATTTTTATTTACATTTCCCCAAAAGCCAGTTTTCATTTAGTAAAAAAAATTTGAGAATCATCTCAATTAAAAGTAATCTTGTGGAGAAATTTCATGAACAAAGGAAACATGTTGACAATTATTCATGAACAATTTCAGTATAGGAAAAAAAGGCCAATTGATTTACCTTGGGCTAGATTTTCAAAGGTGTTTTCAAACCCTAAAGATAAAAATAAGTGCTCACTGGGATTTTTAAAAGCAACTATGTGTCTAGCTCCAATTGATTTCCATGGGAGTTAGGCACCTAGGCCCAGATTTTTAAAGACATTCAAAATTAATAGGTGCTGTCACATATATGATTTTGAAAATCCTACTAGGTACCTATCTACATCTTTAAGTATCCACATTTCTTTAAAAATATGGCCCCAGGTGCTTAACTTAGTCACTTTTGATGCAAATCTGTGTGCCACTACATGCCAATCTATATCTTTAGGTGCCTAAATACCTTTGTAAACCTGGCCCATTATTTTTTTTATTCATAATATTAGTATTATTTAATTCTGACCAGCTCTAATTATTTGCATGGCTTTTCGAGTCCCAGTCCCTGTGACAAAGCCATCAATACTGTGTTGACATGCAGTCACATTTCTAACACCTGTGTCTCTCCTCCAGATTGAATAACAACACTGCCAAGACCTCCAGCATGCACTGGGCCAACCAAAGTCATGTGACCGAGTTCATTCTGGTGGGTTTCCCTGGCGTCCTGGAGCTGCAGCTCCTGCTCTTCTTGATGTTCCTTCTGGCCTATGCACTGACAGTGATAGAGAATACGGTGATCATCATGCTAATCTGGGCCAACGTCCCACTCCACAAGCCCATGTACCTCTTCCTGGGGAATCTCTCTTTCCTGGAGATCTGGTACATCTCAGTCACAGTGCCCAAGATGCTATTGAGCTTTGTAACAAAAAGGAAAAGTATCTCCTTTATTGGGTGTATGGCCCAGCTCTACTTCTTCCTGGCCTTGGCCTGCACTGAGTGTGTCCTCCTGGCCGTCATGGCCTACGACCGCTACGTGGCCATCTGCAACCCGCTGCGCTACTCAGCCATCATGAGCCAGACTCTCTGCATCCGCCTGGTGGCTGGGTCCTGGCTGAGTGGCTTTCTCATCTCCATGTGGAAGGTCCTCTTCATCTCGCGTCTGACCTTCTGTGGGGCCAACATCATCAACCACTTCTTCTGCGACGTGTCACCGCTGCTCAACCTGGCCTGCACCGACATGTCACTGGCAGCACTTGTGGACTTCCTGCTGGCCCTGCTCATTCTCCTGGGGCCTCTCTCCATTACCGTGGCCTCTTACATCTGCATCATCTCTACGGTTGTGCGCATCCCCTCAGCCAAGGGGCATCACAAGGCCTTTTCTACATGTGCCTCCCACTTGCTGGTGGTCACCATCTTCTATGCTTCCTCCCTCTTCATCTATGCCAGACCTCGGGCCATAAGTTCCTTTGACTCCAACAAGCTGGTGTCCGTCATCTACACAGTTCTGACACCCCTCCTCAACCCAGTCATCTATTGCCTGAGGAACGAGGAATTCAAGGACACCCTGAGGAAAACAGTGCATGGCATAAAAGTCTTCTCCTTGTCTGGGACTTTCCAAGATGGCCTAAGGGATTCCCATTCTTTAACTCACTAATATCCTGTGGCAATGAGTTCCACAGTTCAGAATGATTTTTATCTATTAGACTTACATCAGACCACAGTCAATTCCATTTAATGGACCTATGATATCATTCTTGAGGGCTACTGTGGTCTGGGATTTCAAAGAGAGGCTAAGGTAATACGTGCCTAATGCCCATTCTTTAACTCAATACCAGTTCAGATAAATTTAACCTGCATTGATATATTATGGTTTCTTGAACTGAACTGAAATTATTTGTTTCATGTCTGGTGGGCCAGATTTTTAAAGGTGACTAATGGTATTTTAAAAATCCATTGAAATGAGTGTGAATCGGGCACATAGATGCTTTTGAAAATTTCATTAGGTGCCTTAATACCTTTAAAATGCTCTCCTTTTGACATGAAACACCATCTGCCTCAAGTCTAACAGTGCCTCATGGTAGTTGTAGTTCAGGTCTTTCAGTTGTAATTCTTCTCTATGGACCAGGCTTCTCAGCTGAATTACATCTCCAGACCAGTGTGATGCATCATAGCAGACACATGACTTTGTTGCATCATGGGAGATGCAATCCAGTCACGAAGGATGAAGTGACGGCTTGAGGCTGTAGTTTATTGTCCAACTGACCCAAAATAAAACATGTCACCATTTCCCAAACTGCTTTTTTTCCCCTGCATTTTTCAGTTTACAAAAAATATGAATCATTCACATTTTGGACCCAGTTTGGGTCATAGAAACATAGAATCATAGAATATCAAGGTTGAAAGGGACCTCAGGAGGTCATCTAGTTCAACCTCTTGCTCAAAGCAGGACCAATCCCCAACTAAATCATCCCAGCCAGGGCTTTGTCAAGCCTGACCTTAAAAACCTCTAAGGAAGGAGATTCCACCACCTCCCTAGGTAACCCATTCCAGTGCTTCACCATCCTCTTGGTGAAATTTTTTTTTCCTGATATCCAACCTAAACCTCCCCCACTGCAACTTGAGACCATTACTCCTTGTTCTGTCATCTGGTACCACTGAGAACAGTCTAGATCCATCCTCTTTGGAACCCCCTTTCAGGTAGTTGAAAGCAGCTATCAAATCCCCACTCATTCTTCTCTTCTGCAGACTAAACAATCCCAGTTCCCTCAGCATCTTCTCATAAGTCAGGTGCTCCATTTTTGTTGCACTCCGCTGGACTCTTTCCAATTTTTCCACATCTTTCTTGTAGTGTGGGGCCCAAAACTGGACACACGTCCCTCGATCTGCTGGCAATGCCCCTACTTGTACAGCCCAAAATGCTGTTAGCCTTCTTGGCAACAAGGGCACACTATTGACTCATATCCAGCTTCTCGTCCACTGTAACCCCTAGATCCTTTTCTGCAGAACTGCTGCCTAGCCATTCGGTCCCTAGTCTGTAGCAGTGCATGGGATTCTTCAATCCTAAGTGCAGGACTCTGCACTTGTCCTTCTTGAACCTCATCAGTTTTCTTTTGGCCCAATCCTCTAATTTGTCTAGGTCCCTCTGTATACAGGTCTGTCACATCTTACCCTGGGGTTATGTTCCGCAATCAGCGCGTAAAGCGAAAATCGCGTATAGTCAAAATTACATTGAGTGTAATGGCGGGCAGAATCACCGGCACTACAGGTACAGTATTAAAATTGTTATTTTTCTCTTTTTTTTTTTTTTTTTTTGCTGACCGCGTAAAGCTGAAATCGCACATGTTAAATACACGTAAGATGCGACAGACCTGTACTATTCCTACCCTCCAGCGTATCTACTACTCCTCTCAGTTTAGTGTCATCTGCAAACTTGCTGAGAGTGCAGTCCACGCCATCCTCCAGATCATTAATGAAGATATTGAACAAAGCTGGCTCTAGGACCGACCTTTGGGGCACTCTGCTTGATACCAGCTGCCAATTAGACATGGAGCCATTCATCACTACCTGTTGATCCTGACAATCTAGCCAGCTTTCTATCCACCTTATAGTCCATTCATCCAGCCCATACTTCTTTAAATTGGCGGCAAGAATACTGTGGGAGACCATATCAAAAGCTTTCCTAAAGTCAAGGAATAACACATCCACTGCTTTCCCCTCATCCACAGACCCAGTTAGCTCCTCATAGAAGGCAATTAGGTTAGTCAGGCATGACTTGCCCTTGGTGAATCCATACTGACTGTTCCTGATCAGTTTCATCTCCTCTAAGTGCTTCAAAATTGATTCCTTGAGGACCTGCTCCATGATTTTTCCAGGGACTGAGGTGAGGCTGACTGGCCTGTAGTTCCCCAGATCCTCCTTCTTCCCTTTTTTAAAGGTGGGCACTACATTAGCCTTTTTCCAGTCATCCGGGACCTCCCCCGATCACCACGAGTTTTCAAAGATAATAGCCAATGGCTCTGCAATCACATCCGCCAACTCCTTTAGCACCCTCAGATGCAGCGCATCCAGCCCCATGGATTTGTGCTCATCCAGCATTTCTAAATAGACCCGAACCACTTCTTTCTCCACAGAGGGCTGGTCACCTCCTCGCCATGCTGTGCTGCCCAGTGCAGTAGTCTGGGAGCTGACCTTGTTCGTGAAGACAGAGGCAAAAAAAGCATTGAGTACATTAGCTTTTTCCACATCCTCTGTCACTAGGGTGCCTCCCTCATTCAGTAAGGGGGCCACACTTTCCTTGACTTTCTTCTTGTTGCTAACATACCTGAAGAAACCCTTCTTGTTACTCTTAACATCTCTTGCTAGCTGCAACTCCAAGTGTGATTTGGCCTTCCTGATTTCACTCTTGCATGCCTGAGCAATATTTTTATACTCCTTCCTGGTCATTTGTCCAATCTTCCACTTCTTGGAAGCTTCTTTTTTTCTGTTTAAGATCAGCAAGGATTTCACTGTTAAGCCAAGCTGGTTGCCTGCCATATTTACTATTCTTTCTACACATTGGGATGTTTTGTTCCTGCAATCTCAATAAGGATTCTTTAAAATACAGCCAGCTCTCCTGGACTCCTTTGCCCCTCATGTTATTCTCCCAGGGGATCCCGCCCATCAGTTCCCTGAGGGAGTCAAAGTCTGCTTTTCTGAAATCCAGGGTCCGTATTCTGCTGCTCTCCTTTCTTCCTTGTGTTAGGATCCTGAACTCGACCAACTCATGGTCACTGCCTCCCAGGTTCCCATCCACTTTTTCTTCCCTACTAATTCTTCCCGGTTTGTGAGCAGCAAGTCAAGAAGAGCTCTGTCCCTAGTTGGTTCCTCCAGCACTTGCACCAGGAAATTGTCCCCTACACTTTCCAAAAACTTCCTGGATGTCTGTGCACCGCTGTATAGCTCTCCCAGCAGATATCAGGGAGATTAAAGTCTCCCATGAGAACCAGGGTCTGCAATCTAGTAACTTCTGTTAGTTGCCGGAAGAAAGCTTGGTCCACCTCACCCCCCTGGTCTGGTGGTCTATAGCAGACTCCCATCACGACATCACCCTTGTTGCTCACACTTCTAAACTTAATCCAGAGACTCTCGGGTTTTTCTGCAGTTTCATACCGGATCTCTGAGCAGTCATACTCCTCTCTTACGTACAATGCAACTCCCCCAGCTTTTCTGCCCTGCCAGTCCTTCCTGAACAGTTTATATCCATCCATGACAGTACTCCAGTCATGTGAGTTATCCCACCAAGTCTCTGTTATTCCAATTACATCATAGTTCCTTGACTGTACCAGGACTTCCAGTTCTCCCTGCTTGTTTCCCAGGCTTCTTGCATTTGTGTATAGGCACTTAAGATAACTCGCTGATCGTTCCGCTTTCTCAGTATGAGACAGGAGTCCTCCACAAATGTTTTCCTGGCAGGACAGAAATTCTGATATTGACTGAGCTCTAATTCAGACCATGGTGGATGCCCCCACCCACAAACATGTACACTCCTAATTCAGACGAGATATTACACTACTGCAGATAGCC